ATACGCTCCCGTCAACTCATCCGCAAGCTGAAGCAGTGTCTGGATCCTGGCCTCATGGGCAATGTTCCCAAGCGCCACACCGCTCACATTTGGTATTCTGTGCAGTCCCTTGTCGAGGCCGCCGGCCAAACGGGGGAAGTCTTGTCGGGTGTGGTTGCCGATGTGGTTAAAGCCTTTAATGTGCTGCCTACGCTGCCAATTTTTGCCATTGCCGCTGCCATAGGAGTAGACTCAGGCGTCATCCGCGCCTGGGCGGGCGCCTGCACCATTCTCGTTCGTCGCTTCCGGGTTCGGAGGTCTGTAGGCCCGGCCATCCCAAGCAGTACAGGCTTGCCGGAAGGCTGTGGCCTCTCGGTGGTAGGCATGATGCTTCTTAACCAGGTCATGGCAATTCATCTCAAGCTTGCCGATCCCGGCATTCAGGTACTGACCTACGTAGACAACTACGAGTTGCTCCAGCGGCAAGGTAGGGATGTTGTGCCGGCCTTCCGGGCCATGCAAGCGTTTGCAGACATGGCTGACCTTCAGCTTGATTCTAAAAAGACCTTCGGGTGGTCCACATCCACCGAAGGTCGCCAATTGCTGCAGGCGCAGGGTTTGCCAGTCCGGTATGCCGAGCGCGACCTTGGGGCACACATGCAGTACTGTAAGCGCAGCACCAACTCGACGCTTACCCAGCGTATCCAAGGCATGAAGCCGCTGTGGCTTCAGCTGGCAGCAAGCTGTTCCCCGCATGTGGAAAAAGTCAAAGCTGTCAGGATTGCTGCATGGCCTCGGGCGTTGCACGGAATCGCCAATGTTCACCTGGGCCCTGTTCACTTTGATAGCCTTAGGACCTCAGCCATGCGCGGGTTGAGGCTTCGTAAGGGGGGGTCTTCCCCTTTGCTCCAACTAGGCCTCATCGAAGAGTTTGCCACGGATCCGTTGGTTTGGGCGGTCCAAGCTACCGTCCGCGCCTTTCGCGAGCATGTTGACGTCGAGCAACTTAGCACCCTTGCTTGTGCAGTTGGAGGCAACACTGCCCACCATGCTGGCCCGTGTGGGGTCCTGGTTGAGCGCCTTGCCTTGTTCGGTTGGTCGATCTCGGGCCAAGCAGTTGTGGTTGACCAATTTGGTCCCTTCTCTGTCCTGGAGGGGTCCCCGCGGGAGGTTGACATTCGCATGCGCCTTCATTGGTTTGCTAAGGTTGGGGCAATGCTTGCACCACGTAAGGCGTTTCCAGGGCTGGAGCTTGTAGATCCTGCCCTCACTCGAGCCTGCCTGCTTAAGCTGCAGGACGAAGACGTTGGTTATGTGCGGGCTGCACTCAACGGTGCCTTCTTCACCCAGGATGGCATTGCCCATATTAACCCGGCAGAAAGTCCCAACTGCCCGCTGTGTGGCATGCCTGACAGTGTGGTCCATCGGCATTGGGAGTGCGTGTGCACTTTGCCGTTGCGTCAGGCCATTGCCGAGGATGTCTTTGTCCAGCTTGAGCAGTCACCGGACGCTTTGAGAAGTCGGGGATGGGCCCTCCTTCATCCCATGCATACCTTTTGGCGCCGATTGTTGGTGGCTGAGCCGGATGGCATGCCTCGGGCAGGATTGCCCCTAGACCCACCCGGTTCGGGTGGCATGCCTATCTCCCTTTTCACTGACGGCACTGCCCAGTGCCCCAAGTGGCCGGCGCTTAGGTACGCTGCTTGGGCGGTAGTTGAAGTTTGTGAGGTCGACCCGTGGTGTAGCACTTGCATTGCTGCGGGTAGGCTTAAGGGGTTGGTGCAAACGGTGCCTCGTGCTGAAGCCATTGCCGTGTGGGCTGCCCTTGAGTATGTGCACCAGGTAAGTCGTCCCGCGCGCCTCTGGTGTGACTGCCAGTTCGTGGTGGACCGCATGCAAAGCATCCTACAGGGTGGCTTCCGTTGGGATCCGTCTCAGACAGATTCAGATGTCTGGGCGGACATCTGCCGGTTGGTTCAGTTGATTGGGCCGCACGCCCTCCGCATTAACAAAGTTGCTGCGCATGTTGCCAGCAGTGGCCAGCTTGCGCCGCTGGAGGAGTGGGCTGCGTTCCACAACTCACGTGTGGATGAGGCCGCCAAGGCAGCCAACCAAGCCCGGCCTCCAGTGTTCTTTCAGGTGCATGGCCAGCTTGTGTCGCACCGGGCACGAATGCTGGCCCTTGTCCAAGCTGCTCAGGCCTACATCGTCCGTGTTGCCCAGCTGTTCCACCGTAGGGGTAATGATCGCAGTAGTGCCAACGACCGTCCTCGCATCGCGGAAGGGCATCCCGTTCGCCGCCCGCCTGTTCTGCCCCGGGTGGGTGCTGACCTGTGTGAGCGATTTGGCAGCCGCGTCGTGCAAACCGTGGCGTCGTGGTGGCCGCATGCGCTTACCGGGGACAAGTCCCGGTGGGTGTCAGGGTTGCAGTTGTTGCTTGATTACCAGATGGCCACAGGGTGCCGTGGCCCGGTTTTCAGTGGCCCTACCAAAGGGTGGCACGAGCCTTCGTGGAGCAGCCGGGTTGATCTTCATGTGCACTCTGCAGGCCAGCACGTCACCTGGTTCATGCGTGTCTTGCGGGCGGTTTGGCACGCTCAAGGCGTGGTTGTCGATTGCCGCAAGCAGCGACCGGACAGTGATGCGCTTGCCCACTGGGCCTCTGCCTTTTGGCTCCCCTGGCCTGACTGCCGTCACAGCCAGGTCGAGGACTGGCTTGCGCAGCAGCGGTTTTGCGGCGGGGCGCGCAAGTCGGCCCGACTTGCCGCCCGTCTCCCGCATGCCAGTGCGGTGAAGGCCATGCAGGCTCCTGCACCCGCAGCTGGGCCACTGGCTCGTTTCTTTCAGTAAGGCTTTCACTCGGTTTGACCGCTTCCGGCGCCATACAGGCCCCGGAGGCGCGCGGATTGGAAAAGCTGGAAAAGCTGGTGTTTGGCTGAGTATGTTTTGTGCGTGCTGCCCGGTATCGTGGACCTGGATATGTCAACCTGGTGGAGTAATATCGGAAGAGTGAAAGCTCCTCTCTCAACTTGGAAACCCCAAAATTCATCGAGGGTGTTTTTCCATCTGGATATATTTCTTTGGAAAACCATTGGGGACATAAGTTGCGTCGGGATTTACTATGCCTCCCCGCCCCCTGGCATATATGCTGATTGCTCCAAATGAATTTCCTGGTCACCTGGGTTTTAATTGCAATTGTCAGAAAGGCGTTTGGCTACCAACACCTGCCATCGTTTTGGGCTGCCAACACGAACCCCCCTGTTTGCTCGCGAACAATTGCAGGTCCGCACACTTCACGCGGCGCTTGAAAAAGGAGGTTACTACGCCAAAGCTATGGGAGCATTACCCCATGTTTCAAGGGTCACACCCAAGTACCCATGTTGTTCTGGTTCGATGGATAACAATTCTAGATCAGGCTTCAATAAAGAAAGAGGTCTCTTTTGCATCCGGCTGAGCAATGGACGAAATTCCAAACATGTCCGAAGAGAACATTGTACAATTGTGCAAACCAACATAGACTACCGAATCTCCGAATTAAATGTTCATTGACTCAGATGTCAAATAATGTATTTATATTGTTCTGGGTGAGATATGACAATTTACAAACATGAGCGTAGTCCGAATGTCATGCGAACCAAATCCTGTGAGGTCCATTCAGGCCCCCCACGAGGAAAGACACCAACGGTTGAGTGGAACCCAATGGCAGCGATCGACTTCCCAATGGATTCGGCTCAGCTTGCTGGGCTTACGGAGATTTGAATGATTCTTTTCGGTGGCGACATCATTTGCCCCGTCCGGACGTGTCCCGCCTTTGACCGCGGATTGCCGGTAGGCCGCGAGCCCTGATGTGCGGTGGCCGAACGTCGGTCAGTTGCTTGGTTCTTAAAAACCGGGCTGACCCGCACAAATGAGGGTTTCCATTTGAAAGAACCGCAGAAGGGTTCATAAATTGACACCTGGGTGAAAGTACAGAAAGTACAGGGAAACCAGCCTGCCCGGCACCCTAAGGGTAAGAGCCGAATGACAAAGCGGAATGTGTGGGGGCAGACGAATTTCGCTGTATGAGTGGCACAATTGCCTTCATGTTGATAACATGTTGGACCCTTCATGAAACTTAAACAATGGAGTTAAGTCATCGACTTTGCCCAGGATACAGACACTTGGAGACCCTCCAAATTGGGAAACATACGCAGAAGGCAAGAAAAAAGAGACCAGAGCGTCTGATTTGCCATCTTTGATCATTGTTGTACAAAGCATCCGGAAGCCAATGCGCATGCATGCACATTCTCACCATGACGACAAGCCTGCGACAAGTCTCCCCCGTTTCGCGCACCCAACTCTCACATCCAAACCACTGAACCCCCAGTCCCTTTCTCCCAAAGACCCGCAAATGGACTGATTTGGACACCAAAGGAAGGGGATATGAAAGGTGGATCTTATAAAACTTTGCAAGGGCAATTAGCCGTTGAGGGAAGCAACAGGGGACCACACGGCAATGTTCCCTGAAGGTTCTACCCAATGGCGACCTGTTCTATCCTGAACCTCCATGGAAAAATGTCATACCTGAATCAGGAAAGCACGTCATGACCGCAAGGTGCCGGAGTCACCTCAGAACATACCCAGGACCCCCCCCAATAGCGGTCAAAAGGCCACAAGCTAGCAAAAATGAGCTCACTTAACAAACCATTTCGTAGCCATCTCGTCACATTCCACTCACAACTTGAGACTTGTTTGGCGCGACTCACGGGTCCCCTGCGGACTGACGGCCCGGGCCATGTCTGTTTCTGCCGTTCGAACTTGGGCGGTCTTCGGGGGTTCGAAAATCAGAGAAAAGGACCAGGGCAACCATCGTAGCATTCGCACCTGCGCAGGAGTGCTCAAAACCAGAGGCTTCCTTTCTGGATGGCGTGAAAGGATTTCCGTGCCATCTGTCTTCCCCTTGTGTTGGAAGGTCGTTTCAACTCGCTCCCCTGTTCGCCACCTATACCGGCCCTCCCCCCTCCCCTCCCCAACTCCGCAAC